CAGTAATGTCTGTTGGTCTCTCTCAGCAATGTCTGTTGTCTCTCAGTAATGTCTGTTGGTTCTCTCAGTAATGTCTGTTGGTCCCTCTCATTTATGTCTGTTGGTCTCTCTCAGCGATGTCTGTTGGTCTCTCAGTAATGTCTGTTGGTCTCTCTCAGCAATGTCTGTTGGTCTCTCTCAGCAATGTCTGTTGGTCTCTCTCAGTAATGTCTGTTGGTCTCTCTCAGTAATGTTTGTTGGTCCCTCTCAGCAATGTCTGTTGGTCTCTCAGTAATGTCTGTTGGTCTCTCTCAGTTGTTTGTTGGTCTCTCTCAGCAATGTCTGTTGGTCTCCCAGGTAATGTTCTGTTGGTTCTCTCATGTCTGTTGGTCCCCTCATTTGGTCTCTCTCTCAGTAATGTCTGTTGATCCCTCTCAGCAATGTCTGTTGGTCTCTCTCAGTAATGTCTGTTGGTCTCTCTCAGTAATGTCTGTTGGTCTCTCTCAGTAATGTCTGTTGGTCTCTCTCAGTAATGTCTGTTGTTCTCTCTCAGCAATGTCTGTTGGTCTCTCTCAGTAATGTCTGTTGGTCTCTCTCAGTAATGTTTGTTGGTCCCTCTCACCAATGTCTGTTGTTCTCTCTCAGTAATGTCTGTTGGTCTCTCTCAGCAATGTCTGTTGGTCTCTCAGTAATGTTTGTTGGTCCCTTTCAGCAATGTCTGTTGGTCTCTCTCAGTAATGTCTGTTGGTCTCTCAGCAATGTCTGTTGGTCTCTCTCAGTAATGTCTGTTGGTCTCTCTCAGTAATGTCTGTTGGTCTCTCTCAGTAATGTCTGTTGGTCTCTCTCAGTAATGTCTGTTGGTCTCTCTCATTAATGTCTGTTGATCTCTCTCAGTAATGTCTGTTGGTCTCTCTCAGTAATGTCTGTTGGTCGCTCAGCAATGTCTGTTGGTCTCTCTTAGTAATGTCTGTTGGTCTCTGTCAGTAATGTCTGTTGGTCCCTCTCAGCGATGTCTGTTGGTCTCTCAGTAATGTCTGTTGGTCTCTCAGTAATGTCTGTTGGTCTCTCAGCAATGTCTGTTGGTCTCTCTCAGTAATGTCTGTTGGTCTCTCAGCAATGTCTGTTGGTCTTTCTCAATAATGTTTGTTGGTCCCTTTCAGTAATGTCTGTTGGTCTCTCTCAGTAATGTCTGTTGGTCTCTCTCAGTAATGTCTGTTGGTCTCTCTCAGCAATGTCTGTTGGTCTCTCTCAGTAATGTCTGTTGGTCTCTCTCAGTAATGTCTGTTGGTCTCTCAGCAATGTCTGTTGGTCTCTCTCAGTAATGTCTGTTGGTCTCTCAGTAATATCTGTTGGTCCCTCTCAGTAATGTCTGTTGGTCCTCTCAGCAATGTCTGTTGGTCTCTTTTGGTAATGTCTGTTGGTCCTCTCAGCAATGTCTGTTGGTCTTTCTCAGTAATGTCTGTTGTTTCTCTCAGTAATGTCTGTTGGTCCTCCCAGCAATATCTGTTGGTCTCTCAGTAATGTCTGTTGGTCCCTCTCAGCAATGTCTGTTGGTTCCTCTCAACAATGTCTGTTGGTCCCTCTCAGCAATGTCTGTTGGTCTCTCTCAGCAATGTCTTTTGATCTCTCTCAGCAATGTCTGTTGGTCCCTCTCAGCAATGTCTGTTGGTCCCTTTCAGCAATGTCTGTTGGTCTCTCTCGGCAATGTCTGTTGGTCTCTCTCAGCAATGTCTGTTGATCCCTCTCAGTAATGTCTGTTGGTCTCTCAGTAATGTTTGTTGGTCCTCTCAATAATGTCTGTTGGTCCTCCCAGCAATGTCTGGTTGTCTCTCAGTAATGTCTGTTGTTTTCTCTCAGCAATGTCTGTTGGTCCCTCTCAGCAATGTCTGTTGGTCCCTCTCAGCAATGTCTGTTGGTCTCTCTCAGCAATGTCTTTTGATCTCTCTCAGCAATGTATGTTGGTCCCTCTCAGCAATGTCTGTTGGTCCCTTTCAGCAATGTCTGTTGGTCTCTCTCAGCAATGTCTGTTGGTCTCTCTCAGCAATGTCTGTTGATCCCTCTCAGTAATGTCTGTTGGTCTCTCAGTAATGTTTGTTGGTCCCTTTCAGCAATGTCTGTTGGTCTCTCTCAGTAATGTCTGTTGGTCTCTCAGCAATGTTTGTTGGTCTCTCTCAGTAATGTCTGTTGGTCTCTCTCAGTAATGTCTGTTGGTCTCTCTCAGTAATGTCTGTTGGTCTCTCTCAGTAATGTCTGTTGGTCTCTCTCAGTAATGTCTGTTGGTCTCTCTCAGTAATGTCTGTTGGTCTCTCTCAGCAATGCCTGTTGGTCTCTCTCAGCAATGTCTGTTGGTCTCTCTCAGTAATGTCTGTTGGTCTCTCTCAGTAATGTCTGTTGGTCTCTCTCAGCAATGTCTGTTGGTCTCTCAGTAATGTCTGTTGGTCTCTCAGCAATGTCTGTTGGTCTCTCAGCAATGTCTGTTGGTCTCTCAGCAATGTCTGTTGGTCTCTCAGCAATGTCTGTTGGTCTCTCTCAGCAATGTCTGTTGGTCTCTCAGCAATGTCTGTTGGTCTCTCTCAGTAATGTCTGTTGGTCTCTCAGCAATGTCTGTTGGTCTTTCTCAGTAATGTTTGTTGGTCCCTTTCAGTAATGTCTGTTGGTCTCTCTCAGTAATGTCTGTTGGTCTCTCTCAGTAATGTCTGTTGGTCTCTCTCAGCAATGTCTGTTGGTCTCTCTCAGTAATGTCTGTTGGTCTCTCTCAGTAATGTTTGTTGGTCTCTCAGCAATGTCTGTTGGTCTCTCTCAGTAATGTCTGTTGGTCTCTCAGTAATGTCTGTTGGTCCCTCTCAGTAATGTCTGTTGGTCCTCTCAGCAATGTCTGTTGGTCTCTTTTGGTAATCTCTGTTGGTCCTCTCAGCAATGTCTGTTGGTCTTTCTCAGTAATGTCTGTTGGTTCTTTCAGCAATGTCTGTTGGTCTCTCTCAGCAATGTCTGTTGCTCCTCTCAGTAATGTCTGTTGGTCCTCCCAGCAATGTCTGTTGGTCTCTCAGTAATGTCTGTTGGTCCCTCTCAGCAATGACTGTTGGTCCCTCTCAGCAATGTCTGTTGGTCCCTCTCAGCAATGTCTGTTGGTCTCTCTCAGCAATGTCTGTTGATCTCTCTCAGCAATGTCTGTTGGTCCCTCTCAGCAATGTCTGTTGGTCCCTCTCAGTAATGTCTGTTTGTCTCTCTCCGTAATGTCTGTTGGTCTCTCTCAGCAATGTCTGTTGGTCTCTCTCAGTAATGTCTGTTGGTCTCTCAGCAATGTCTGTTGGTCTCTCTCAGCAATGTCTGTTGGTCTCTCTCAGCAATGTCTGTTGGTCTCTCAGCAATGTCTGTTGGTCTCTCTCAGTAAGGTCTGTTGGTCTCTCAGTAATGTCTGTTGGTCCTTTCAGCAATGTCTGTTAGTCTCTTTTGGTAATGTCTGTTGGTCCTCTCAGCAATGTCTGTTGGTCTTTCTCAGTAATGTCTGTTGGTTCTCTCAGCAATGTCTGTTGGTCTCTCTCAGCAATGTCTGCTGGTCCTCTCAGTAATGTCTGTTGGTCCTCTCAGCAATGTCTGTTGGTCCCTCTCAGCAATGTCTGTTGGTCTCTCAGTAATGTCTGTTGGTCCCTCTCAGCAATGTCTGTTGGTCTCTCAGCAATGTCTGTTGGTCTCTCAGCAATGTCTGTTGGTCTCTCAGTAATGTCTGTTGGTCCCTCTCGGCAATGTCTGTTGGTCTCTCAGCAATGTCTGTTTTAGGATTTATTTTTGATGTCCTTATTTACCCAATTCATTTGTTTACCATTGAAGTCCTGTTCAGTGATTCTCTGCTTCTGCTCATAACTGTTGATACAAGTGGTTGCCCATACATTCATCTTTTTTTCATTTGCTTTCTTGCATTCATCACATTGAAGCTCATCAATTTCTTTATGGAATCTTTTAAAAGTTTCCCAATCTAACAAGTACTTTGTACCTCTGTGTGTGATCATTATTCCTACTTATTCCATACATTTCCTGTCTAATCTCCCTAAGTAAATGAGGGTTAGCCCACTAACCACTCTTGTAATCTGCTGCAGGCCGTCTTACCTCACCTAATCCCAACATTTCCAGTTAGCATTTGTTTCATTTCCTCTGATATCTGGAGAGAAAAAAAAAACGTTATTATTTTTGCCATGGTTTTAATGTTCCATAATCAAATTGAAGTAATTATTGTTGAGCTGGATACTGTGGATAGCTGGCCACTGACTACTACACAGTGACTTTCATCAGAAGCCAGCATAAATGCACTTTGGGCACCACATGCCACTTGGCTGGTTAGGTTGCTTGATTTGCTTCCTACTGTGCAAGTTTTTTTTTAAGTTCGACTGCTTTTTACCAGCTGGGGCAGTTAGTCCCATGCCTAACCCTCACCCTTTTTCATCCTGGCCTGGGACTGACAGATTAGTGCACATTTATTTAACTCTTTGAGTCCCAAAGAATGCCTCACACGTTCATAGATTCCTACCTAGAAGCCCAATGAACCCAGGATGAGCCGATTTTTACATCTTTCTTGACTACCCCTTGGGCCTGTGATGCTAAACCACCTGGGACTCAAAGAGTTAATAAGTGTGAATCTAATTTTTTTAATGTGGTTTATAGAATGCTTGATTTTCTGATGCTGATTGGGGCTTTGCTCCTTAAGACATTTTATCTTTGTAGATGCTAAATTATAAAAAAAGATTCACTGTAACTCTGAAAAATTGAACACTATATAGAGATAAATGAACTTACAAACTTTATTTTCAAAGAGTTGTCAACTGGGTTGTAGACCCTACATACATTCATCTCCTCAAACCACTCTAACTTTTACACTGTAATTGTATTTTATGTATTGTACATATTACATTGTTTTGAACAGTATAAATAATATGAATATGAAGTGTAAACTATTTTTTTTTTTAAATACATGAGAAATGCACTCAAATCTGAAACACTGTCTGTCTGATGTTTATCTGCACTTCTAAAGTGCTTTCTATTTGTAATGTTTTTTTTTTTTTTTTTAATGGTTATAGCTTAAGTGCATGATATGTAAAAAGTATAACATGTGCAACTACAAAACTATAAGTGAAAGTACATTTGCTAAGCAAATCAAAAGCTTTGGTAGCTTAACTTCAATTGACTTTATTTAATATCATTCATTATTAATGTGTGACATTAAAATGTTTGTTTTCATAACTGATGATTTAAAAAAAATGATATAACATTTTAAAATTGCCAGGTTGAATCATCACTGAGTGGTCTGGAAACTGCTACAACTAACCTTGACCTTTCTGAGTCAAATGAAAATGATCGTGTAGCCTGCATACTCTCAAAGGTATTTAAACATTAAACTTAGTTAGCTGATAGATCGTCTTTACTGCACTTCAGACCAATCTGTCCTCCGTCTTTACTGCACATCAGACCAATCTGTCCTCTGTCTTTACTGCACATCAGACCAATCTGTCCTCCGTCTTTACTGCACATCAGACCAATCTGTCCTCTGTCTTTACTACACATCAGACCAATCTGTCCTCTGACTTTACTGCACATCAGACCAATCTGTCCTCTGTCTTTACTACACATCAGACCAATCTGTCCTCTGTCTTTACTACACATCAGACCAATCTGTCCTCCGTCTTTACTGCACATCAGACCAATCTGTCCTCTGTCTTTACTGCACATCAGACCAATCTGTCCTCTGTCTTTACTACACATCAGACCAATCTGTCCTCTGTCTTTACTACACATCAGACCAATCTGTCCTCTGTCTTTACTACACATCAGACCAATCTGTCCTCCGTCTTTACTGCACATCAGACCAATCTGTCCTCTTATGCTTGGATCCCCTCATCAGTAATTCTCCCAACTTTAAGCTGCTGATAACAACATTTCTGTGTTGATTACTCTTATGGCTTCCCACATAGTGTTCTGGCCTCACCTCTTTTCACGTCCTGTTCTTGCATTTTGATTTTGGCTGCAGATTTACTTATTGAATATTATCTTTCAGTATTACCTAGCCTAGTCAAATATCTGAATAGCTTGATCAATTGTTTATCCAACTCTCCACAGCAATGCTACCCACATGTGTGTCAGTTGTTTAGTGTCCTCTTACATCTGAATGCCTTGAGGTGGGGGCTTGTAGCTAAAATAAGTAGCAATTATGTTCCACTGTAACAATCTCTCAGGCAGACATTTGTGAAAACTTGAGCTGTTGAAGTTCACGGTCATCATCATCATGTAGCAGGTCCTTTGCAGGCAGTCACTCTCATCACGGTCTGTCTAAAAGAAACTCAGTCACTCACCAGCTCTCCGGCCTCATGTACTTTCATACCGAAGGAGTCACTTGTATCCTTTGCCTCCATCTTCGTGTATGCAATAAGTGGGGTTTCTATTCTCTCGTTGTCTAGGTGGTGTTCATGCCTGTGTCGTGAATGTTCTTCTCACACACTCTACGTTACATAACTGGTACGAGCCGACACCAACATTGTCGTACGAACATAAGTTTATTGGCATGTAATAACTTACAATAGTGTCCTGTCGTTGTCCTAATGAACCACTCTCGCACACCAATTCACGCAGCCTTCAACATGCAGGTTCTCCATGCATTCCCTGACCAGAGTCAGCTCCAATAATTCAAGTTGAGTTTCCTGCCATTACACTGACTGGCTTGGTCGATCTTGGCTTTACACTTTGTTGTCAGGGTCTCCTTTCGCAACAAGCAATCTTACATGGGCATTCTTACACTCAGTGGCACATCCTCTCACTCCAACAGGTCGACACAAAACTAAACTTGACCAGAATCAAGTCTGACTTATACCACGGGTTAGTTTCACGTGGCAACACGTGGTGGTCCTTTACTTTCACGTGGCGACCTTTGGTCCCATCATCGTGATACCCGTGATAACTAGTGGTCATCACCTATCTCCAGATTCTCGTTTAATCCGAGTATCTGGAACATCTCGGTGTTTTGGGTCAGCTTCGGGCCTTCCCCCCAACCTTCCTAATCTGGGTGAAAATATCCCCCATTACAGTGTAGGTCGGCCCCTGCCCCTCCTTCCTGGTACCATGCCTTCAGCTATATTTTCCAATCCGTCGTGGCGCTTGATATGACCACAATATTTCAGCTTCCGAGACAGGATGCTGTTTATTAGCCAATCTTCTTTGATGTTCAGATCTTTCAAGATGTCAGTATTTCTCCTCTTTTTTTTTTTGATGTTATGAGCAGCCACTTTCATGACAGAAAAAGAAACTAATTTTTGTCAGCCATGACAGCCTCGGAAACTGAAACTACTACCTTTGGGCCCGTTTTGATGTTCCTGAGCATACCCACTGAGTCACTGAGTCACTGAGAAAGCATGGCCAAGAGAACATCTAGGTCTCCAGCAAGGCTATTGCCTAAGTTACTGCCATGACTTCCATAGTCAGACCACATATTGTCAACACTGTAAATTTTCTTGATAGTTTTTCCTGTTTACCTCAGGCATAAACGCCCAAGAACTGCTGACATGTTGAACAACAGTCACATCTGAATAAATAACTGCATAAACTTTAGAATAATTTGTAATAGTCAAGACCTAAAGTTCTACCTACCTCCACAACAGCCTGATGGTGTTTTCTGCATCTGTTCCTGTCAGATGAATACTTAAATGGATACAAAGCCCTCTGCTGGCACTTTTACATACATTAGTGAACACAAAATGCTGGATATGTTCTTGGCTTGGCCCACCCAACATTTGTCACCTCAAGTGAACACAAATGCTGGATAAGTTCTTGGCTTGGCCCACCCAATATTTGTCTCCTCTATAACCTGCTGCCATTTTCTATTTTTGTAACCTGCTACCCTTTTTTACCATAATCCCGTGTGTCAGCACTCATGCAGAAGTAGGCAAATGCTAGACACAACTGTATTCTCACCTGCCTGGTTGGACAAAAATGAGCCTGGTACATTCCATTTCAGTTAAATCCTCCTCCTCGTCAGATGTCTAGTTTGCAGTTGACAATTTTTCTTTTGCAATAAATAAAATCAGTATTTGTATTTTATGCATTGTTTCTTGTTAAAGCCCACAGTGTATGTTAGGTCTTCATGTCTGTTCTCAAAGACTACCCTGTGACTTGTCTCATGACACATGTATGACTTGTCTCATGGCACATGTGTGACTTGTCTCATGACACATATGTGACTTGTCTCATGAAACATGTGTGACTTATCTCATAACACATGTGTGACTTGTCTCATGACACATGCATGGCTTGTCTCATGACACATGCGTGGCTTGTCTCATGACACATGTGTGGCTTGTCTCATGACACATGTGTGACTTGTCTCATGACACATGTGTGACTTGTCTCATGACACATGTGTGACTTGTCTCATGACACATGCGTGGCTTGTCTCATGACACATGTGTGACTTGTCTCATGACACATGTGTGTGGCTTGTCTCATCACACATGTGTGACTTGTCTCATCACACATGTGTGTGGCTTGTCTCATGACACATGTGTGACTTGTCTCATGACACATGTGTGACTTGTCTCATGACACATGTGTGACTTGTCTCATGACACATGTGTGACTTGTCTCCTGACACATGTGTGACCTGTCTCATGACACATCTGTGACTTGTCCTGTAACACATGTGTGACTTGTCTCCTGACACATGTGTGACCTGTCTCATGACACATGTGTGACCTGTCTCATGACACATGTGTGACTTGTCTCATGACACATGTGTGACTTGTCTGATCATACATGTGTGACCTGTCTCATGACACATGTGTGACTTGTCTCATGACACATGTGTGACTTGTCTGATCATACATGTGTGACCTGTCTCATGACACATGTGTGACTTGTCTCATGACACATGTGTGACTTGTCTGATCATACATGTGTGACCTGTCTCATGACACATGTGTGACTTGTCTCATCACACATGTGTGACTTGTCTCATGACACATGTGTGACCTGTCTCATGACACATACAGTTAGGCTGCACCTTTCAGACAAAAACTTCATATTTCAGCAAACTACTCATTAATGAGCTTGTATGGCAGGCTTGTTGTGGACTGTGGCTCTATTCTGTCCCCCCCCCCCCCCCCCCATCAACACTCCCTTCACCCCGCAAAAAAGCCCTGGATGCCACAAAAATAAATGTTCATTATGGTTGGTCAACTGTGAATAAATTAAAGATGATTAAAAACAGTTTAATTACAATGTTTTCATTTTCTCTTGTTGCTTGTTCAGGTGAAAGAAACTGCATCAGAGACCAGAAAGTTGCTGTTGGAGCAAGCAATGACCACCATTGTTGAGGCACACTTGACTACAACTATAAACACGCATGCAAATGTTCTTGAAGCTAACAAGAAAATTCAGCAGAAAATTCAGGAAATGGTAAGTTGTGTGAAAAATGAAATACTGACATTTTTGTTGACCTTCTTCTGTTTATTTTTGCTTCTTACTGAATGATTTCACACACTGGATGATCTTTTTAGAAGTGAACTTGGATATTGTTTAAACACTGAAAGCCAAATATTGTTTTTGTGTTAATTATAGTTTCTAACGATCAGAATTTTCTGCTCTGAATAGTTCTGTGTTGATCACAGCCTTTAAGAATAGATCTCTTTTACACTATTTAACATATGTTCAGGATCAGGCCTAGTTGTGAACTTGCATTACAGGTGCCATCTCCACAATGGAGAGTTGCTTCAGGACATCCATTACTGTCTTTAGGAATATTACATTATGTGGCTGCAGTCTCTTGTTTGCTGCCATTCTTATTCCACTTTCCAGAAGCCACGAAAATTTTTTTTGTTTTTTTTTTCTAAAATATCCGCCAACAAGATTATGAAACCCAATTCACTAACATCTAAGCCACAAAGATGCACAACTGCACATTAGTTGTAGATGTAAGGGTAGCAACAACAACAATCACTTGTGCCCATGAGTGCAGGGACTGGCCAGCTGTTGCTGCAGAATCACAAGTTCAACAATTGATTCATGACAATTCTCCGCCAGGCGATGTGATAATCTGTACAGATAGTTGTGTGTTGAAAAGCATAAGAAGGGGATGAGGGTTCATTACAAAAGTGAATGGACATCACTTAGTGCAACAAACCATGGTCTATGGTAACACAATATTTAGTTTGATTATGAAGGTGAAGGTAGTCACTGCATCCTTCTGCTGGTTTGAAAACCAGTTGCACAAATGTTGTTTTTGTAATAGACCCACAGAGCATGTTGTAAAAGGTGGAGACAGGTATGCTCAGTGCAGAGTGGCAAGCATCACTTCAGAGATCCCAGGTAGTTAGTGTCCTTTGGATATTTGTTCTAGGTTATGCTGATGTGTTGGGAAATGAACAAGCAAGTTGGCTGACTGGTACTGGACCAGTTGGTGGTGAAGTGATGCACGACAAATGAGAGTTTGAAGTGTCTTTGGGAGTGAGTGAACACGGCAGAGGCACAAATAGATCAACATGGTGTGAGGAGAATATGTTATGGTAATGTTATCGCAGTCGACATCTTTGCACATTGGACATTTCCATGCGTGCTCAGTCCTCCGATGCAGCTGCCACTCCAAGGTACCTCTACTGATTGTTCTCATGAGGAGCTGGTTATAGTATCTATCGTCTTTGCCTTGTGCTTCACCAAGGTTTACTCCTCGGTCATGCAGTCATGTTAGCGTCAGAGATTCTCAATTATTCTCCAATCTGGTCCTCACAGCATTGATGATATAATCTCTGTCCCTGCTTCTTCCTATTTGCATTGGAGACTTGCCAACTGGTCAACTCTTTCATTACTATTTACTCCTGTGTGCCCATGTGTATAGATCCAGATGATGGAGGTTCTCTGCAACTTCTGAATGCTTTCTACCCATTCAGAGCGGAGATTACCTGTAGCAATTCTCTGAGGAGAATAGTGCTGCTGAGAGTGACCAGGGGCTGTGGCCTGAGGCTCGGCACTCAAGCAAATATTGAGACGGATATACAATCAAACTTTTACTGGTAGCACCAGAATTGCAACTCTGCACTTGATGATCACAATGTGGATGGATCACTTATGGGAATCTCCTGACTGCTGTATTGTTGGTTCTTATTTCACAATTATTGTTGGTTCTTATTTCACATAACAACAACACGTGCAACACACCTGGCCCAGGATAGAAAACTGCTACTCCCCACTACGCTGTGAGGCAATTGTGGACAAGACAAGACAAGACTTAAGCAAATATTGTTGGTTCTTATTTCACAATTCAAATACAGTTCACATTTTTCGCAGAAGATCTGTCAAGAGAACTGTTTCGTTCACTGAAGTAGATAAATTGCAAGAACAATATTCATTTAACCGAATGCTAAAGGAGAAAAATGAATTCATCTGAATACAAACCCCCATCTTTAAAAGCAAATTATTTCCTCTAGATATCTAGTTATGGTTAAACTAGAATGAAACACAAGTTTATATTGAATGACATGAAATAAAACATGTTTTTGTTTTTCTAAATTTGCAAATCATACATGTGTTATTTCTTTTGCAGCCTGAGGCATATGCTCTGTCGCTGAACAGCAACAACTTGTGGCAGCAGTTTATGTCAGCCATGTTGCCCGAGATCACCAAGGTGATTGAATTCTGCACAAAACTGCCAGGTTTCCCAGAACTGAGACAAGCAGACAAGATTGTGCTAATTAAACAAGGCTGCTTCGAAGTTATGGTGACCCGTTTCTGTTTGCTTGTAGATCCCGACAAGGAGGAGATGCTGGATCCAACGCTTCAGATCAAGGCTCCAAGGTATGCTCACTATTTCAATGTTAGTCTCTAAGGAAGAAACAACTGCTGCTGCTGCCTTCTCCTGCTTTTGCCTTCTTTCTCCCACTGGAGCTTAAGCCACCTACTAACTAGCTCCATGTGACATCTCCTACTGGAGCTTAAGCCACCTACTAACTAGCTCCATGTGACATCTCACACTGGAGCTTAAGCCATCTACTAACTAGCCCCATGTGACATCTCCTACTGGAGCTTAAGCCATCTACTAACTAGCTCCATGTGACATCTCCTACTGGAGCTTAAGCCATCTACTAACTAGCCCCATGCCACATCTCTCACTAAAGCTTAAGCCATCTACTAACTAGCTCCATGTGACATCTCCTACTGGAGCTTAAGCCATCTACTAACTAGCTACTTGGGACATCTTCCACTGGAGCTTAAGCCATCTACTAACTAGCTAAATGCAACATCTCCTACTGGAGCTTAAGCCATCTACTAACTAGCCCCATGTGACATCTCCAACTGGAGCTTAAGCCATCTACTAACTAGCCCCATGCGACATCTCTCACTGAATCTTAAGCCATCTACTAACTAGCCCCATGTGACATCTCCTACTGGAGCTTAAGCCATCTACTAACTAGCTCCATGTGACATTTCCTACTGGAGCTTAAGCCATCTACTAACTAGCCCCTTCTGACATCTCCCACTGGAACTTAAGCCATCTACTAACTAGCCCCTTCTGACATCTCCCACTGAAGCTTAAGCACTCTACTAACTAGCCCCATGTAACATCTCCTACTGGAGCTTAAGCCATCTACTAACTAGCCCCATGTGACATCTCCTACTGGAGCTTAAGCTATCTACTAACTATCCCAATGTGACATCTCCTACTGGAGCTTAAGCCATCTACTAACTAGCTCCATGTGACATCTTCCACTGGAGCTTAAGCCATCTACTAACTAGCCCCATGTGACATCTCCTACTGTAGCTTAAGCCATCTACTAATTAGCCCCTTGTGACATCTCCAACTGGAGCTTAAGCCATCTACTAACTAGCCCCATGTGACATCTTCCACTGGAGCTTAAGCCATCTACTAACTAGCCCCATGCGACATCTTCCACTGGAGCTTAAGCCATCTACTAACTAGCCCCTTGCGACATCTTCCACTGGAGCTTAAGCCATCTACTAACTAGCTCCATGTGACATCTTCCACTGGAGCTTAAGCCATCTACTAACTAGCTCCATGTGACATCTTCCACTGGAGCTTAAGCCATCTACTAACTAGCCACTTGTGACATCTTCCACTAGAGCTTAAGCCATCTACTAACTAGCCCCTTGCGACAATATCTTTTGCTGTTGTGTGCAGCAGTTGTTTTTTTCCTGTCCTTCTAATTTTTTTGTCTGAATCTCAGCGTCTAAATTTGGACAATGTGGTACATTTCTAATAACTGCCGCAGGCAGGCTCGCAGTCAGTACAGTTTCAAATGAGTATTAGAAAACATCCTTGAATGTAAATGTGGCCTATGTGAAGCTGAACAATCATCTATTGAAATGACTGATCTAAAAGATGTAGGTCTAGAATCATATAGAGGCGCTTTTGTCTTGAGAAGGCTCCTTTGCTTCTTTTTTCTTTTAAACTCCTGTCTCTTCTCTGTATAATTTTATTGTTTGTTATCAATTTCATTCTTTACTTTGTGGTAAAAATAAACTGTTTGCTACAGTGAAACTGTCCATTGCTTGCATCATTGATTAGTCTTTTTAGCTCACTATCCATCAACCTACAGAAGCATTTTTTCAATGATTCACGAATCATGAACAAATAAAACATAGACACTGTTATTGCATTTCCCACCGATCCAAAACAAAAGGGTAGACTGCTTACTGGTGGCACCAATATCCTGCACGAAGGCCTTGCTGGAACAGTTTCAAGGAAACTGTTTAACCACAACCCGTACAGCCTGGACTTGGCACAAAGTGATTATCATCTCTCCGGCAAGATAAAGGTCTCGTGGTTACCCAGCGTTTTGACACCAGAAAGAGCTCATTGATGGAGTCAACAACTGGCTAAGTACACTGGCAGCACCGTTCCTTGATGAAGGGTTAAAAAATTAATGCTGTAGTATAGCAGGTGACTGACGGCTGACTGACTTTCTACCCCACCAGGACATCACACAAGCGATAAACACCCGATGACACAAAGTGCCACCATGCGGATGAGGATCGCCGTGGAGAGGTCCCAGAAACTGCGTTCAGACATTTGGCCATATTTATGGCCTGCCTATATTGCGGCCCCTGGCAAAAGCCAGAGTAGGGCTTCAAATGACAAAAAATTTCGTCCTGAAAAGGACGAAACTGGATACAGTATAGCAGGTGCCTGAATTTAGTAGATGACTCTGTGGAAAAGTAATGCAATGATATATGTAACTTTTTTAAATGTATTTTTACCAGTCAGTCAGAGGTTGATTTTGATATAGCCCTCATATGTGTACATTATGTAACAGTAACATCAAAGTTTGTAACCTTTCTTATATTTTATATTCAATGACACATAGGCAGATTTCACTAGAAGGTGAAGGTAAAGGAGGTTCATGACTGCACAGTCAGTTATTTCCCCTTTGCTTACACTTGCACTGTTAATTTTATGCAACTACATAAGGTTGACTACATCGCTCACATTGAGTGCCAGTTGGCCTGCACAAATATGAGTCTAACAAAATGTGCCCACTGTGCCACTGATGTGAAAAGAGTCCCTTACTTGCCTGTTTATACAATTTGCTTTCAGAAATGTTGGGAGGTTGCTCAGCTATTAGACAATGGTCTGGGTTCAATTGTCAGCAGACACAGGAGTATTGTTTCAACCAGCTTGAGTATGGGGTTAATTCAACCTTCTAAAAAATGCGAACCAGACAGTTTTCTAAAAATATTGTCTGTGAAAGGAAATGTAATGTGGAAGAAAAGTGGGAATTCCACTTTCTGTAACTGCTACTGGGGTTAGTTTTACACAAAAATTATCTTTGTTTTTTTGTTTAAATTTTGCAGGCATGTTGTCCGTGACACACCGATGGGAGATTTTCTGGACCAGTTTTTCACAGTAGCCAGCCAGTTCAACCCTTTAGCTCTCACAGACGAAGAGATTGGTCTCTTTACTGCTGTGCTTATGACCTACCCAGGTACATAACTTTAGCCTGTTTGTGAATTAGTGAACACAATGAGATAATAAGGTGTGGAATTTCTTTTTCTTCTTCTTCTTCTTCTTCTTCTTCTTCTTCTTCTTCTTCTTCTTCTTCTTCTTCTTCTTCTTCTTCTTCTTCTTCTTCTTCTTCTTCTTCTTCTTCTTCTTCTTCTTCTTCTTCTTCTTCTTCTTCTTCTTCTTCTTCTTCTTCTTCTTCTTCTTCTTCTTCTTCTTTTCTACTTCTTCTTCTCTTCTTCTTCTTCTTCTTCTTCTTCTTCTTCTTCTTCTTCTTCTTCTTCTTCTTCTTCTTCTTCTTCTTCTTCTTCTTCTTCTTCTTCTTCTTCTTCTTCTTCTTCTTCTTCTTCTTCTTCTTCTCCTTCATCTGCTGTAAACTCCCATGGACAATTCTGGTTGTCCATCCACATCTGGACTTTGGCCTAGTTCCAAATCCTGAATTCTGCATGTTCATCCGTTTTACATATCTGGCTTATTTGAAAACAGACTGTTGGTTAATCATCTCTGAGGCAAATGTAGGAAACTGTGAATTAGTGCATTCTAATTAGTGGACTTTTACGGTTGCTTGTTAGTAGACGGTGGGTCTGTTGATCCCCCACAGTGGGGCCCCAGAACCCACACAGAGAACTTAGCAATGTCAGTGGTGCTGGTTTAGTAAAAACTATGGGGAAAATAAAAACGGAGCAGGGATTCTGTGGCAGATTAGTTGAACTATTTTTCTTGTACTGTGAAGGTTGTGGGTTCAGTTGCAGACTTTGATTTGCAAGTGTGGGTATTGGGGGATTGTCATTTGAGCTACAGGATTATGTGCATTGTTTGATGCTTTGGATAGATAAAATCCACTCTGCAGAGTCAGGCCAAGCCATATGAGATAGAACCTGGTTCTATAAAGCAAATCTTATTGCTGTAAAACACTATTTTAAATACCTTTAGCAAATGGTGTTTTTCTCTACAGATCGAGAAGGATTGATGAATCGAACTACAATTTCTGTAATCCATCAACTGTTTCTCCAGGCACTGTATTTGCTGCTCAGAAAAAACCACCAAGGTAGGAGTCCTTTTTGAGTTCACTTTTTAGCTGCAGATTTACATCTCCGCTAATTTACTAGATTCTATGTAATGTGAAAAAGGCTCCCGGACAACCCAGCCTAGAATTGGTGCCAGGAAATATAAAAGGAAAAAAATTGTCATATTGACAAAATCGCCTATTCTATTATATATATATATTTTTTTTAAAGCATTAATTCTGCGCTTGCTGCTGAAGATGACGGAGCATGCATGGGAATGCCCCGAGTGCTGTGAAAGCAGCAGTCTCCAGTGAATCACGAAAAGGATTTTTTAAAAACAGTTTTGTTTAGTTATGTAATGTGATTATTTTTCATTGTTTACTAGCAATCAGGTTATATGTTGGGTTCTGATGACCAGATTTGTTCTTGTTTACTAGCATTCAGGTTATATGTTGAGTTCTGATGACCAGATTTGTTCTTGTTTACTAGCATTCAGGTTATATGTTGGGTTCTGATGACCAGATTTGTTCTTGTTTACTAGCATTCAGGTTATATGTTGGGTTCTGATGACCAGATTTGTTCATGTTTACTAGCATTCAGGTTATATGTTGGGTTCTGATGACCAGATTTGTTTTTGTTTACTAGCATTCAGGTTATATGTTGAGTTCTGATGACCAGATTTGTTCTTGTTTACTAGCATTCAGGTTATATGTTAATCAGGTTATATGTTGGGTTCTGATGACCAGATTTGTTTTTGTTTACTGGCATTCAGGTTATATGTTGGGTTCTGATGACCAGATTTGTTTTCTTTTGTACACAATGGTACACAGTAAGGCAGCCTTTCAGGCCTTATTTTGTTTAGTGCTTTTTGTATTGTGTACCTGCACATATCTTTCAACCACTTTGTGGTGAGTACCGGCACCTTTTTTCTAGGAAAAAAGCTCGACTGATGACATTAATATAAAATGCATTTTACATAAAAGAATTTTTACCTTTTTTACTCTCAATATTAGATCTGTTAAATTAGTTATTAATCAATGCATGATGCATTCTTCTTTTATCCAAAGAGTTAATAAAAACAATCTGTATATGTATTTTTTCAGATGCTGATGAGATCTTGCGCAGTCTAATTAATATCATGCCTGTTGTTCGGAAAATCAGTGAGAATCATCTGGAGTTTCTACAGAAGATCAAACTGAACTCTCCCTCTGAGTTTGACAAGAAGTTTCCAACTTTGCACAGAGAACTCTTTGACATTGCATGCTAACTACATGTGATCAATCAAATACTAACGGAAAATCTCCAGTCTCTAATATTTCTGATATAGAACGGAAAAGTCATTAACTCTTTCAGGTCCATGAATTTTGACAGACTTGGCCCACATTTATTTTCCTTTACAAAAATGGTAGAGGGGGTAATGTACAAAAAAAAAGACAATAGAGAATGTAATATACTTCTAATCCCTACAAATGTATATATATTTTTAAAGAGAAACAAATGTTAATTTTGAATATGATGACAAGTATATGTTTAATATTGTTATAGTTAGTAGGAAAGAAGAACTTAGCAGGTGTTAATTTCACAACAACATTTTTCAAACAAATTCTTCACTTACCATGGTTTTGCAGCCACAAGAGTAGTGAATACCTAAATTTAAGAATAACAATTTAAAGCTTATTAAATTTTCTAACAAATTCCTTAGTTGTGATAAGTTCCTGGGTTACTTTAGCACTCAGGGGCTTTAAGTTTCAACAGAATTCGGAACCAAATTTCAAAGAAAAAAATATGGTCCTTTACACACACACAATATTGACTTTGTAGAGTTATATACAGACTGTCGCTGCAGTGATTTCAAGCTAGCTGCAGTGATTTCAATGTAGCTGCAGTGATTTCAAGCTAGCTGCAGTGATTTCAAGCTAGCTGCAGTGATTTCAAACTAGCTGCAGTGATTTCAAGCTAGCTGCAGTGATTTCAAGCTAGCTGCAGTGATTTCAATGTCGCTGCAGTGATTTCAAGCTAGCTGCAGTGATTTCAAGCTAGCTGCAGTGATTTCAAGCTAGCTGCAGTGATTTCAAGCTAGCTGCAGTGATTTCAAACTAGCTGCAGTGATTTCAAGCTAGCTGCAGTGATTTCAATGTCGCTGCAGTGATTTCAAGCTAACTGCAGTGATTTCAATGTAGCTGCAGTGATTTCAAGCTAGCTGCAGTGATTTCAAGCTAGCTGCAGTGATTTCAAGCTAGCTGCAGTGATTTCAAGCTAGCTGCAGTGATTTCAAGCTAGCTGCAGTGATTTCAAGCTAGCTGCAGTGATTTCAAGCTAGCTGCAGTGATTTCAATGTCGCTGAAGTGATTTCAAGCTAGCTGCAGTGATTTCAATGTTGCTGCAGTGATTTCAAGCTAGCTGCAGTGATTTCAATGTAGCTGCAGTGATTTTAAGCTAGCTGCAGTGATTTCAAGTTAGCTGCAGTGATTTCAAGCTAGCTGCAGTGATTTCAAACTAGCTGCAGTGATTTCAAGCTAGCTGCAGTGATTTCAATGTCGCTGCAGTGATTTCAAGCTAGCTGCAGTGATTTCAATGTCGCTGCAGTGATTTCAAGCTAGCTGCAGTGATTTCAATGTTGCTGCAGTGATTTCAAGCTAGCTGCAGTGATTTCAAGCTAGCTGCAGTGATTTCAAGCTAGCTGCAGTGATTTCAATGTAGCTGCAGTGATTTCAATGTCGCTGCAGTGATTTCAATGTAGCTGCAGTGATTTCAAGCTAGCTGCAGTGATTTCAAGCTAGCTGCAGTGATTTCAAGCTAGCTGCAGTGATTTCAAGCTAGCTGCAGTGATTTCAAGCTAGCTGCAGTGATTTCAATGTAGCTGCAGTGATTTCAAGCTAGCTGCAGTGATTTCAAGCTAGCTGCAGTGATTTCAATGTAGCTGCAGTGATTTCAAGGTTGCTGGAGTGATTTCAATGTCGTCCAGTGATTTCAATGTAGCTGCAGTGATTTCAAGCTAGCTGCAGTGATTTCAAGCTAGCTGCAGTGATTTCAAGCTAGCTGCAGTGATTTCAATGTAGCTGCAGCGATTTTAATGTAGCTTAGCCATAGTAAGATAGTATCTATTTGTTTGGAGCACTCTCCTTTTCTTACACCCTAAACACAGAAACAATGGGGCATTGTCTGTGTCAGACATCAGAATTGCTAAATTCCATAACAGTTTATCGCTGGCGTAAATTCGTCGTCCAAATCACTTTCCGATAATTTCTAAATTTTCGTTATCATTATCAGAATTAAAAACATCTGACTGAAACAATTTCAGAGTTTTGGCCATAGAAAAATGCATTCTGTGACCTGTACTTGTGGTTAGAACATTAGTATTCATGGCACTCGAAAACGAACTTAGAAAATGCACTGTTGAAAATAATGAAGCTGTGAATCCGATCAATCTATGCACATGTGTCTTGGGGTACGGAATGTTATTAAAAAGGAAATCATCGGAGTAACCTTCCCTGAATACTTAAATGGTAGTTCCAAACATTAGAAACAAGTACGGAGCTGTGTGCGAAGCAATATGTACGGGACACACAATTGATTTCGAGAGTGTTGTTTGGGCAAATCTGAATTTCTCAATCAGCACTCACAGCGTTGCTCGAGCCTTAAAGAGTTAAGTGGCTTTTTGTTTTGTTTTGTTAAGAATCATAATTATTGCTGTTTCTACTAGATGACGCCTATTATCAGTATTGTAATTTCCTTCACATAAGATCAGGCTTATGACTCTTTTTTCCATGAAACAAATAACTGACCTTACTTTTATTTTTATTTTTAATTATATAGAAAATTAGACCAACTCTATGGTCAATCTCTATGTCCATCTCTATGCTAGCAGTGTCAAGCAAAAACAATTATTACAACTCATGAGTGGAAAATAACAACAAAGATGTCATAGAGAAGCTGCCAGAGTACCAGAGAGAGAGAGAGAGCATTAAATGTGAAAACATGAAGCCAAGTTTAGTGGCATGTAAAGCAAGTGTGTACTGAGCAGTCAAGCTTGACACCTACATACAAATCACAGTAGTAAAATTATACGTATGAACTATGGTAAAATATGTAAGTATGTACAAACTACAATATGACACCTACATACAAGTTAAAGAATACTGAAGTATGTATACGAAACATTACATTCAACACATTATTATTATTATTATTATGCTGAATGGCCAATAAGTATAGTAATATACTTGAAATCATATGAAAAGTATTAACAAACACTTGGAAAGATAATTAATTTCTAAGCATGAATGAAAGCAGGCCTCTTAGTGCCATTACAAAATTATGGGGAGGGGAAGGCGGAGCCTCCCTAAAGAAATCAAGGCGCTCTAGGGACCTGGGCTCCTAGGTTTCAGAGCCCATGGCATGAAGAAGAGATGACTATGCCTAAACGCTTGCAGATAGGGCCGCAGTGGTAACAGGACCACCCTAAATCCTGGGCAGAAGTCACATGATTACACACAAAAAGTGATGACTGTGACAATGTATCCTTGACCAAACTGCAACAATAGCATGTCCTACGGAGGGAACAGATAAGAATGCTTTGCAATGGGCGAAAGGAGGATAGTAAATCAACATTGAATCTGGTATCATTAGCTGCCACACCCTAAAGGCATACAGGGAAGAGGATCTGAACAGTCGTAGACAGCAATGTTTTGAAATAACTACATTTGTAAATCTATAAAACAACTGTCTGAAATAGAAACAGTCAAGATGATATATGTATTAAAACTTAGTTGTGCAATTAATCATTATTTACATCAATAACTGTCTTTAAATATATGTCATGCAAATTTTATATTGAACATTCAAAGGCATACAGAGATATGGAATGGTCAATCAACTGTTCTAAATGTTACCATGCATTTGCTAATATAGTGTTTTAAAACTATGTATAAATAGAAAATATTATTATATCCTAATATTTTTTTTGCTTAAGATATTTGTTAACGGCTACATATTGCATTTTGTATCCTTTCCTATTCAACAACAACAGAAAAAAGTTAAAAACATATCTTTAGGTTCAATTCATTTGTTTTCAATTCAACATAAAGAAAAAAAAAAAGAAAGAAAATGAAAATTGCACTAATTTGAAAAGTTATTGTAAAGAGCAGTCGTTACCACATGAAGAACATTTAGCAAACAAGATCAGGTTTGATTTAAAGATAAAAGTTTTAAGTGTAAGGAATGTGATCTGGAAAATGGACATCAAATTGCTATACTCAACTGAAATGTGCAATACATGTGTTATTGTTTTGTTTTTCTCTTCAATACAGTGTATTACAGTTTTTGAAACTGAAGACCCTACAAAAAAAAGGCAACATTTTGATGATTGATAATCTGTGCTACAAGATTTATATATATATATATATAACTCATTTGTGGAATATTATTTTTGCTCACTCAGGACAGCAGTATGTGAACTTGGTGTGACAGTTACAAGTTCCCTAATTACACGGTTATTAGAAAGTTGTCTAGCAGTTGTTTTTAACCTTTTTTTTTAAAGTGGCTCAAGCCTTTTTGAAGATATGGCAAGACCCTCAACCCCTCGCATCCCCCACCCCTTTTCCAACTTAAAAAAACATTTGATTTGAAAAAAAAGGACCTAAAATAATTTCAACAATAAATAAATACTTAGAAAAAAATCCACATAATTCAAAATGTCAAATAACAACAAAGTAAAGACCACCACCAACTGGTAATTTAGCATCCATCTATCAATGTAATGGTTGAGACTTTTTTGTTTTGAGGATATTTGCTACTTTTGGTTTTGTGTCAGACTCTCCACATAAAGCTGGCAGCACTGTTTGGTTTTTAGGATTGTTAACACTGAGAAATATGTGGGTATGTGGAGGTGCAGTAGTTTTCAGGATTGTTAACACTGAGACTCACTTTCAAAATTGCATGACCCCATATTGAAACGGTCTGCTCCCACACCCACCCCCACCCCCACCTCGTTTAAGGTTGAAAACCACTGTTGTATAGAGTATTAGAGATTAGCTCTATTGGACTGGAATCCAGGAATAAACTTTCTGAGTCACAAGGATGCTCCACTTTGAGTTAATCAGTCAGCGTCAGTCACCTGTATAGTTTATTTCATCTATTTTAATGTTGCTCTAATCCACCACATCAATTTAATATTTATGTCGCCTATTTGTAAATCTTCATATTACCTGTTATAATGATGATGTCACCATCAGTTATAATTCTCATAATGACTTTTTCAATGTTTAA